AGACTCATAAATGGTATTAACCCCAGTGACGGGTAGGTTTAGGGACGGGGTTGGGGTAGGTCATATATTTATATGTACATAATACAGTAATATAACGTTAAGTCAAAGGCGTTGATAAACACGCTGAAAAGCGATTATGCGTGTTGATAGCACGCCAAAAATGGAAATACGAATTGGCGTGTCATACATACGCCATTTCATGAGATCAGTCTGGAGTTTGAGTACAAGTAAGTGATGTTATTTGTGAAGTTTTTTTGTCTTGGAAACTATTGCTTCTATTTGAAGTCGGCATGAACCGGAAGTTACAAACGACTTTTCTCCAGTGTTGTGACGTATTTAGAAGTGAAACGGTATATTGAAAGGAGGGCAGGGTTTTACTCTAGCGCTCCTCTTCTCCATCTCTGCTCATAGCACGGTTTGAGGGGAGTTGCCACGCCCTTGCGCCATAGCACATGACCGGAAGAGAAGAGAAGTCATTTCGAGGGGGGAGGGAAGGGTAACGTATTTGATTAAAGATTATAAGGCTACATGAATTTTAAAAGAATAATGAAGTGCACAGATAAATCATTTATAATAAACACTACAATATTACATATAAAAATACGAATTGTAAAATCTTACTTCAAGAGCAGGTGAAGCAAGTTCAACAAACAATGTTGAAGACGTTTGCTTGCACTGAGCAATTAGGTACAACTTGCAAACAGCACCTGTGGTTGTCGGTTTAATTCCCACTGGGGCTACCTGTACATCTAGTAGACCTAGATATAAAGTAAAATTTAAGATTGTATACTGCATATATTACAGTCTGAATCCTTAGCCTTTCACATTTTTTATTTATTTATGAGAAGCTTCAGAGAAATGTAATTTGTAACACTTTTTTGGATTTTCAGCTTGGTGTAGGGGATAAAGCATGTTTTAGAGTCATGTTCCTGAAGACCATTGTTCAAAGTAAGTTGGATATTTTTTTTAGATTTAAGTAGATGTGTATGTCCTATTGTCCTCATGCACTTCAAATTAAATGACAGATCTGTATTTTCTATATTAGCCATCCGGAAGGACCCGGCAACCCAGGATGCACTGATGAGGCGGTCCAGGTTAACGTTACGCGTTACCTGAAAGGAGCATCTGACCGTGAAGGCAGAAAAAGGCGCCGCACAGCTGAGAGGGACCCACAGCCGACCACTTAAAACTAGACTGACTACTGACACCCCAGAATCACTGACAACTGGAATCCTTTCTTTATCTTGCAGTCAGTAGAATCAAGACCCCTAAAGAAGTCAGAAGTGTCAGACTACACTCACTCACTGTGGAAATTACTTTCTTTTTTTCTTTTTCAAATAAAGCTTGTAAATCCTTGTGCCACAGGTCAGCATTGCCGTTATAATGGCCTATTCTACTCCAGAGCTTTACTATAAATTACTACCACTTATCATATTGTTAGAAATGGCTTGTAAATGTAGTTATACTTTTATTTATTTGGTATCTTGCACATTATTTGGTATCAAATATCCTCTTTACTTGTCATAATGTTTAGTGGTAATTTTTTTTTACCACTAAACCACTTTTTTTTATTTATTTTTTTTATTTGCTTGTGTATGGAATTACATTTGTGTCAATAATAATGAACGTAACTTTATAAAACTGAACGTAACTTTATAAAACTGAACGTAACTTTTTCAGAAACTATCAAAATATTCCATTACAAAAGAAGGAAAAACACAATTAACCCTCTGGGGTCTGCAATCACGCCGGCGTGATCTGCTCGCTTTTTTTCTTATCAGTGCAAAAGAGACTCAAATAACTTTTCGATTTTTGTCATACAGGCAAATGTTATACATCATTCGATCCTCTTAAGTTTCTATTTTTTTTTGTGGATACTCACAATAAAAACAAAGTGTTGTGCTTTTCACCAAATAAAGAAAAACAAACATGATGCGAGTTCTGCGTTCTCTCTGTCAGTGAAGTCCATTCTGAAACGCGTCCTAAGATTAACTGTAACTCCACGAATACTCAGTCAAACAGGTATACAGGCACACAGGCATGAAGCCTGAATTATCTTCTTTTAAATGAAGTAATTTATATAAAAAACGAATTTTCTCATTTTATGTAATCTGTACGAAAAGAGAGAGACGATAGTCGTTCTCGTCTCAGGTCATTAAAGTTAATTTGACCACGCACACAGAGCGCGCGCTCTATTCAAACACAAATGCTCTGAGGCGATCCACGCTCACATCAGCTGGATTACCCACCGAAAGAGACTCATATTTACGACGCTGTGAGGAATAATACTATCTTAATAATAATCCTGGAAAATTACCTCAGAAGTGCAGCAACGGATCCAGCTGAGGAATAGGTACATTCTTTATTCTCAAGTGCTTTGTTCTAATCGCGATATGAAATAGTGTCTGTAAACAAAAAGACTGTTTGAATATGAATCGCATTTTTGTGTGTGAATGAATGAACAGCTTTTACCTAACTATATTGCAATACTGAGATGAGTAAAAATCGACTGAAATATGTTGAAATAAAATATTTGTGTATAAGCAACGTATTAAACTGCAAATTAACATTTATATGCCCTAATATAGGCTATCATTAAAACGATATGTTACATATGAAAGACAAGATGTCGTTTTTTCTGTAAAATACTGCCACATCAAATAAGCTTGTTTGCTAAGATGTTATTATAGTGTTTGTTCGATTAGGCTATATTCAAACTAATTAATCCGCAACTGTGAAATATGTATGATAAAATGTATGCTTTAGTTTATACAAAGAAAGATTACATTTGAAATAGTTAAAATTTTAATTGTTGTTGTAATTGTAACATTTTTATTAAAATAGCAAAAATATATGTACATATTAATAAATCTTAGGTAAATCTTAAAAGGTCAATATAAGCCTCCTCTTTAAATTATTTGTATTGTGTTTTATTAGTGACACATTTGGGATATATTCCCAAACTTTCTGTAAATACAGTATGATAATTAACTGCACAATTACTAGAAATGTTTACATTGGATATTATACAATTTGCAAGCACAATTTGAAAAATAAATAAATAATTGGAACTGTGAACCAATTTTGTATTATATAGGCATATATATATATATATGTATTGTCATTGCATTCTTGTGGCTCAGTGACACACCTGAATGAAAGGCTCATTAGTATGCAGCCTCATTATGCGCTCATTATGCGGGCCCATTGTCTTCTCAGGTGTGAATCACAGCAGGTCACACCCCTGTGCATATTGCCTTTGCAAACAAAAAGGGTCATACTAAATTTAAACCAATCTATTGTTTTATGTGAATGATAAGGCAGGATGATTTTCAGATCATTTTGAAGAAAAAACTCTAGGCGACAACATCCATTAGTCAAAAGTCTTGTGGACACATATTTAGTATGTGTTTTGTGGCCTTATTTCAGAAACTTTAAGTTTTAGTTTTTTCAATAACCACGCATAAACATTATTCTCTTAAAAATACAAACATGTACATACATGTTGCTTAGATATTATGGTAGCCCAGTTTGTGCTATATAGAGTGAATTTACACCTTTGCCATTAACATGTTTATAAATAACTGAAAAAAGCACAAATGTAAGGGCATATCAGAACATCCCAAGGGCCCCAAAAACACCTCAGACCCCAGAGGGTTAAAATGAAAAAAATAACTCAGTCGCACGAATTTAACAGGCTCTTCAAATATGCTTCATTTTTTGTTATTGGTTTTCAAAGATTCGTTTTCGCAAATCGTGGAGTCTGAATACATAGCTACAGATTTAGTTCACGCTTCTCAGTTTTTCGTTTGCTGCCACAGATTTCGCTTACGCTTCGGAGCTTTTCGTTTGATGTTTTGAGACAAATCTCTCGTGGGGGTGGGCTTAACAGTGATCTACTCTGATTGGATAGTGAGCTTTTGATGGACAGGCGCTCTCTGACCCGGAAGTACAGACGTCACTCAGTGGCGCGCACATTGGAAAGCTCTCGCGGTTAGACATTCAGTTACGCAATACTTCGTGCTTTGTTCTATTACTAACAATATATGTAAATAATACTTGACCTACAATTATATAATTTAATATTATATGAGACCGTCGGCTTCCTTCGTCTCAGTCTGTGAGGATGAGCTCTCAGGAGAGACACGGAGCGGCATCATCTTCCTCCTCAGCTTGCTCTTCAAGGCAGCTTGTAGTAAGTTCGTGTCACTGAAGTAACCAATAACATTGATACAAGTTTTATCCATGTAATGTTGCAGTGTGCAACAGTTCTGGCTTTATTTTACAAATGTATTGTTTAAAAATATTTCAAGAAGGTTTCATATATCAAGATACGGTGTGTAGATATAAATAAAATAAATAATATGTTTGCCTAATCTTCCTTTCTTTTAATGCTAACGTTTCTCAGGACCAAAGACAAATGTCTCTTTTCCAGGTAACGTTAGGCACTGAATGATGGTATATAAATTATACAGCTTAATTAGGTTAAAACTGGTTTGCTAATCCTTATGATAATGGCTGACTTTGTAAAAAATTAACTGGAGGAAGAGAGAGAAAGAGAAAAAAAGGATTGTCTTAACTAACCTTAAGGGGCTGTTTTTTGTTGTTGTTTACCTTTAGGAACAAGTGCAACACGACATTTTACAGCATATGCTGTCAAAGTTTAGCTTGATTATTCGAAATGAAACATTAGATTTGGATTACCTCTTGGATACTGCGCGGCAAGAACTGGATTTGGCAATTACTGCTTCAAATCATGTCAACATCCCAGAAGCTTTAATTGCAGGTCTACAGGAGCTAATCAACATAATTCATGTAAATGTAAGTCCGGAAGAAACTTCAACACCTACATCCGATATTTTAACCTGCACTTCAACACCTACATCCGATATTTTAACCTGCACTTGGGGAAACGTGGGACGCCCACGTTTAGATATCAGAGGGGATGACCTTGAGGAACTCCTTCGTATGGCTCTCCCTGTAGAACATCTTTCTGTGGTGTTTCAAGAAGCACAATGAACAGAAGATTGAAAGAACACACCCTGTCTGTCAGAGCCTGCTATTCCAACATTTCAGATGAAGAACTTGATAATGTTGTAAGATCAATAAAAATAAGAATGCCACATGCAGGCTACAGACTAATGAAAGGTGAACTTTTGGCAAGAGGGCACCGGGTACAGTGGCACAGGATGAAGGCCTCTATGCGACGGGTGGATGGAGCTGGAATTTTGGCCAGAATGATTCAGCTTGGTTTCATAGCTCGCAGAAGCTACTCTGTTCCTGCACCATTGTCCTTAGTTCACGTGGACACCAATCATAAGCTAATCACGTGGGTATTTTCTCTCTTACACTCACATATACAGAAAATCTTAGTTGTTTCTTTACATAATGACACATGTACACATTAAAAATGCCTTAAATAATAATAAAAAAGATATACCCTAAACTAAATGACTGCTAACAAACAGTAAAGTCTTATGTTCATATTTTTGTTTTTTAGATTCAATATTGTGATATTTGGTGGGATTGATGGTTTCTCAAGGAAGGTACTGTTTGTCAAGCTCTGAATTTGTTCTGTTTTGAAACTTTTGAAAATATTTTCCCCAAAAACTAAAACTGTCATCATTTCCTCATCCTCCACTTGTTCCAAACCTATATAAGTTTCTCTCTTATGCTGAATGCAAAAGAAGATATTTTGGGTAAACAGTTGATGGTAGCCATCTACTTTGGATTTGGATTACCACAAGGATACTACTCGGCAAGGCCTTTAGAACTTTCAAGTAGATTTAATAAAGGGGCCATTATACCATTACTCGAGGTCAAACATGCATTTTAATCTGGGATTAGGTTTAAGTCTTGTCTGAGAAACTGGGCTATATATACACTCACCGGCCACTTTATTAGGTACCCCATGCTAGTAACGGGTTGGACCCCCTTTTGCCTTCAGAACTGCCTCAATTCTTCGTGGCATAGATTCAACAAGGTGCTGGAAGCATTCCTCAGGGAGTTTGGTCCATATTGACATGATGGCATCACACAGTTGCCGCAGATTTGTCGGCTGCACATCCATGATGCGAATCTCCCGTTCCACCACATCCCAAAGATGCTCTATTGGGTTGAGATCTGGTGACTGTGGAGGCCATTTTAGTACAGTGAACTCATTGTCATGTTCAAGAAACCAATTTGAAATGATTAGAGCTTTGTGACATGGTGGAAGTAGCCATCAGAGGATGGGTACATGGTGGCCATAAAGGGATGGACATGGTCAGAAACAATGCTCAGGTAGGCCGTGGCATTTAAACAATGCCCAATTGGCACTAAGGGGCCTAAAGTGTGCCAGGAAAACATCCCCCACACCATTACACCACCACCACCAGCCTGCACAGTGGTAACAAGGCATGATGGTTCCATGTTCTCATTCTGTTTACGCCAAATTCTGACTCTAACATCTGAATGTCTCAACAGAAATCGAGACTCATCAGACCAGGCAACATTTTTCCAGTCTTCAACTGTTCAATTTTGGTGAGCTCTTGCAAATTGTAGCCTCTTTTTCCTATTTGTAGTGGAGATGAGTGGTACCCGGTGGAGTCTTCTGCTGTTGTAGCCCATCCGCCTCAAGGTTGTGCGTGTTGTGGCTTCACAAATGCTTTGCTGCATACCTCGGTTGTAACGAGTGGTTATTTCAGTCACTGTTGCCCTTCTATCAGCTCGAACCAGTCTGGCCATTCTCCTCTGACCTCTGGCATCAACAAGGCATTTCCGCCCACAGAACTGCCGCTCACTGGATGTTTTTTCTTTTTCGGACCATTCTCTGTAAACCCTAGAGATGGTTGTGCGTGAAAATCCCAGTAGATTAGCAGTTTCTGAAATACTCAGACCAGCCCTTCTGGCACCAACAATCATGCCACGTTCAAAGTCACTCAAATCAACTTTCTTCCCCATACTGATGCTCGGTTTGAACTGCAGGAGATTGTCTTGACCATGTCTACATGCCTAAATGCACTGAGTTGCCGCCATGTGATTGGCTGCTTAGAAATTAAGTGTTAACGAGCAGTTGGACAGGTGTACCTAATAAAGTGGCCGGTGAGTGTATATATATATATATATATATATATATGAAATACTGCTTGCAACATGTCCATTTAAAGTGAAAATTATTGAAGAAATATCTTTCTCCTAAACCCCTTTTTTCATAGATCCTATACCTTGATGCTGCTGAAAACAACAAGGCATCAACTGCCTTCTCATTCTTTCTGGAGGGTGTTCACAAACATGGGTGGCCTTCAAGGTAAGAACACTGTTAACATGTGATGTCTTTTTTTTTTTAAGTCAACATCTTAACTACATTTCACAAGTTCACATGTAATTCAATAGAATAAAGATTACGTGTATTTGGCGTGCTGTCCGGGGGGAGGGCTCCGAGCTCTAAATATTGGCCTGAACCCAGAGTACTCCCCCAGTGTGGTAAAAATAGATAGAACTATAAGTGAGGAGATGGGTGGTGGAGGGTTGCTGATAAACCAGGGTTCCCCAAACTCGGTCCTGGAGGGCCACTGTCCTGCAGAGTTTAGCTCCAACCCTGATCAAACACACCTGAGCAAGCTAATCAAGGTCTTCAGGATCAGTAGAAACTCACAGGTAGGTGTGTTTGATCAGGGTTGGATATCACAATATTTCAACCCTGTGATAAACTCTCAGATGAACAGAGGCAAGTCTGCTGTATTTATATCTCATCATTGGTTGAGTTAATAAACTGAATGCTCTCCACCTGTGCTAATTAGGTTAATTATCTGAACCTGCTCCGCCTGAATTTTGATAATAAAACATCATGTTGTGTGATATCATTGTTTGGTACTATATTTGCACAAAGCAAAATTACCTTTACCAAAGGTTTTTGAATTGTTCACAAATGTGAGTTTTGGTATTTTTACATCTTGTAGTGTTTAGTCTTTCTAAAAATTTACCTATGTTTATAATTTTTGAAAGCTAATGACTTTTAAAATCCAGTTGCAAATATTTGTTGCTTTAAAAAATGTTTTAAATGTTTAATATTCCCTAAATCTTTTCTAGAGTACGTGGTGACCAGGGAGTGGAAAACGTGGATATTGCACGTTGCATGTTCTCAGTGCGAGGAACTGGTCGAGGTAGCTTCATTGCCGGAAAAAGCGTTCACAATCAAAGGTGCAAATTCTGTTTTTTTCCCAGTTGTTATTTCTAGTGGGGCCCCCCCCAAAAAATCACCTGCCTGACTTGATGACATCGTTAATTAGGCATGTTAATGTGTGGCATTACAGTACACCTCAGTCTGATAGCTGTTCTGTATGCATACTGAACATAGGTCTGTTTTTTTTTTTTTTTTTTTTTTTTTTTAAGAATTGAGCGCCTATGGCGTGATGTGTGGTCAGCCGTCACATCAAAATACTACGAAACCCTACATGCAATGGTAGAAGATGGAGTGCTTGATCTATCAAATCAACTACACCTCTTCTGTGTGCACTACACAATTCTTCCACGCCTGAACCTGGACCTGAAGTGCTTCATTGGGAGCTGGAACAACCACCCAATCAGAACAGAAGCAAATCTTACACCAAATCAGCTTTGGTACATTGGAATGCTGCAGACTCCAGTAGCTGATCAAGATGTAGAGGTATTCTTTAATCATCTTTTTAAAGAGTTGGTTCACCCAAAAATGAAAATGACATTAATGACTCTCCTTCATGTCGCTCCAAGCCCGTAAGACCTCCGTTCAAAGAACACAGTTTAAGATATTTTAGATTTAGTCCGAGAGCTTTCTGTCCCTCCATTGAAAGTGTATGTACGGTATACTGTCCTTGTCCAGAAAGGAAATAAAGACATCATCAAAGTAGTCCATGTGACATCAGTGGGTTAGTTAAATACATTTTGTTCCAAAAATAATAAAAACTACGACTTTATTCAGCATTGTATTGTCTTCCGATTCTGGAAGTTGTAGTTTTTGTTATTTTTGGACCAAAATGTATTTTCGATGCTTTAAAACATTCTAACTAACCCACTGATGTCACATGGACTAATGTCATTTTCTTTGATTTTGCAGATAATCGAGCAACTGTGTCAACAGCAAACGTCTGATACTGACCCAGAAGATGGTGTGGTGGTTCCAGAGATCCAATGCCCTTTATCTGAACAGAGCTTTGCTGTTCTGCAGGGATTAATTGATCCCCTGACATCACTGAACTACCGAGAGCTCTATGTCCAGTCACTTGATATTATTCAAAGACTGAGCTTTACTAACATTTGACTTTTGTAACATAAAAAAAGAAACTTGGACAAAAAAAAACAACAAAAAAACATATGTTCCCTTTCGAGGGAACTCTCGATGCGTCACTTGACGCCTTGGGAACGCCCCCAGCGTGAATGCGTCTGAGCATCAATGTCAACTAGTCCAATGGAAAGAATGAGCGTCACGGGCGGGTGACGTCATGACCAGGAAGGGATAAAGGCTCACCCGGTGAAACGCGGCATTTGCTTCTGTGTCTCAGCAAGCGATCTGTGTTACTCTGTCTCCGTCTATTTATTGTTGTCTGTTCGATATTATTGGGAAGAGTTATGGCGAAACAACTTTACAAACTCTGTGCTTCTCCCTGCCCGCGTTATTTAACGGGTGGGGACACACACGAGCTTTGTGTAGTTTGTTTGGGAGTGGAGCATGCGGTATCAGCCTCCGAGGGGGCTGATTGCAACATTGTGAGAAGCTTTCGCTTCGCGTGCTCCACTCCCGCCTGTCACTTTTCGAGGAAAGTGGCCAGGCTCGCGATCCTCGGGGTGCAGGACACGCGTCTGCCGAGGCAGCGCGGAGAATGCATTCCTGTGGATCGCGAATAGGATCTCGTTATGGGGTTGGAGACGGGTCCGCGGATCTTATCTCCTCCCTTTCCACGAGGGATCCAGTGCTCTCTCTCCGGTCTCGGAAGCCCGCGCTGCGGTCTCTTCCGCCCGGGGAGAGAAATCAATACTTCAGTGCTCTACCTCCGAGGAGGTAGATGTGCTGGGCATTGAAAGTGTACACAATCATGGGGGAAGTGGATTTGCCATCTCTTCCCCAGCGTATGAGAATTATATATAGCCTATATATATATATATATATATATGATAGTTTATATATTATATATAAAATAAAGTGTATATATATAAAGAATGTATATAAAAAATATATATATATAATAATAAGCTGGTGGAGGTGTTTACTGAGGCTGTAGATGAATTAAATATTTAATGGCCAGCAGAAATAAGGGGGCACTCGTCCTTAAAATAAATTGAACGAGTTTCCTTCCCTCTATTTTTCCACCTCCATCACGGGGCCTTCCATTTTTCCCGATCTGCACAGCGAGCTGTCTAGATCATGGAAAAAGCCTTACTCATTTTTTAGCCCCACATTCATGTATATTCAGATATTTGGGGGTTAAGAGAGTATGGCTATGGGGCAATACCCCGGGTAGTACAGACACTTGCGAGCTATGTCTCCCGGTTCAGTATCGTCCCTGAAGGCGTCGGCTTCTCTCACTGAACCATTAAAGAAAACTATTTTTTAATCCTGTGGGAAAAGCATATATGACAGTGGGTCTAGCACAAGCCTGCTTGCACACTATAGCAGTGCTGCAAGCATATCAGGCTGACCTGCTGTGGTATTTGGACAGAAGTGAGGGAGTTGGCCCGATGGGGTTTGAGAACTCCGTCGGGCCTCAGATTTATCTCTCAGGGATGGCAGCCAAAGAAATGTGGTCCCTGAGAGACACCTCTGGCTCAATTTGATGGGAATCATGGAGAAAGATACAAGATAATCTCTCCCTCGCTATGTCCAACCCACTGGGGCTGCTGGGCGTGAGCAGCTCCAGCCGGCTAGTTTCTCATACACAACACAGCAGCCAAAGCCTTCAAAGCAGAAGCCGGATCCGAGGACCGTTCTTCATGCTGAGAAGGCTGCGGCTCAAAAGAAAAGGTCTGGCGCCACGGCATCAGACCGGTGAGGGCAGCCCCAGCCGGGGTGGAATGGTGCCATTATACGGTGCCCTTTCCATCTCTGGGGACCGTTCTGCCAACCCCGCCACCCTTGGTGCTTCGGGGCGCAGCGTTCTCCAGCGAGCTTCTGGCGCAGCGTCAACTCGACATTGCGTCGGACTCGCGCCCTCTGAGGGGGGTTCGAAAACAGTCAGTTCGGGTGGTTCCTGCCAGTATGTTTCAGGTCCCCGAACTGGCTGTCTTTATTACACCAGAGGCCAGCCTCGAGGGGCTGGTTCCCTTGGTAGGTTTTCTGGCAGCGCGGAAGCTACTGCCAAATATATCTCTATGGGTAATGGTAATCTCTCTGGTAATGGAGCAAGGGGTAAAGGCCCTGTTAGCAAAGAAAGCTATAGAGCAGGTGTACTCACCCGACATTGCGTCGGGTCTTTACAGTCGTTATCTCATTGTTCCAAAAAAGGATGGAGAGCAGCGTCACATACTAGATCTTCGTCTGTTGGAGTGTTTGGTGCTGGAACTCAAGTCCAAGATGCTGACACTCAAACAGATCGTGACTCAAATCAGATCCGAGGACTGGTTTGTCACGATAGATCTAAAAGACGTATACTTCCATATCTCCATCCTCCCTCAGCACAGGAGGTTCCTGAGGTTTTCTTTGGGGCAAAGAACACCAGTATCAGGCACTTCCTTTCGGTCTAGCTCTATCACCCCGCACGTTCACGAAGTGTATAGACGCAGCTCTGGCCCCGCCAGGCTGCAGTGTATACGCATTCTGAATTGCATAGATGACTGGCTGATTCTAGCGGAATCAGAACAGTTAGCGGTTCGGCACCGAGGTGTCGTTCTCGTTCATATGCAGATGTTGGGGTTGAGGCTCAATGCCAAGAAGAGTGTTCTTTCTCCAGTACAGAGAACCACTTTCCTTGGTGTGGTATGGGATTCAGTGACGATGCGGGCCACTTTATCGCCCGTTCGTGTAGCTGCTATCCTGACAGCCACCATAGAGCTAAAGCTAGGCCAGTCACGCACTGTAAAACAGTTCGAGAGACTGTTGGGTCTTGTGGCAGTAGCGTCCAACGGGATACCTTTTGGCCTGCTGTACATGAGACCTTTGCAGTGGTGGCGCAGGACCAGAGGGTTCTCCCCGAGGGGAAACCCACTTCGTATGATCAAGATCACGCGGCCGTGCCTTCGTGCCTTGGTTATATGGAGGAAACACTGGTTCTTAACCCAGGGTTCGGTGTTGGGAGCTCTTTGCCATCGAGTTGCTATCTCGACAGATGCTTCCCTCACCGACTGGGGAGCGGTATTGGAAGGCCGCTTAGCTCAGGGCTTGGGAGGAGTCATCATCTCGCTTGGCACATGAATTGCCTAGAGATGATGGTCGTCTTCAATGCATTGAGACATCTCCTCCCAGACCTGAGGGGCCATCATGTGTTGTTCTGAAACAGTGACTGTTAGGCCTCAGGGCAGCAGCGTTCAATGTGATACCCTTTGACCTGCTGTACGTGAGACCTTTACAGTGGTGGCTCAGGACCAGAGGGTTCTCCCTGAGGGGAAACCCACTCCGTACGATCAAGATCACGCGGCAGTATCCCCGCGCCTTGGTTATATGGAGGAAACTCTGGTTCTTGACCCACAGACAACACGTTGGTGGCCTATTATTTTGGTCCCTCAGGAAATTACGCTGTCTGAGGGCAGTGTATATTCCAGGGGGGGCAGAATATTGGAGCAGACACCCTGTCGAGGCAGGGGCTGAGGCCAGGGGACTCCACCCCGAGGCGGTGGAGCAAATATGGGAGTTTTATGGCCAGGCAGAAGTGGATTTGTTCTCGTCTCAGCAAAAGTACAACGCACTGTCCACTCTGGTTATCCCTCACTCAACCAGTCCCCACGGGGCTGGTTGCTATGGTGCAGACGTGGCTGAGGCTACGTCTGTACGCATTTCCCCCTGTTGCTCTGCTCCCAGGAGTTCTGGAGTGATTCCGCCAGGATGGAATAAGCCTATTTAGTAGCACCACCCTGGCCGAGGTGAATTTGGTTTGCGGACCTAATTTTTCTCCTCGTCGGACCTCCCTTGGAGGTCCCGATCAGGAGAGACCTTCCGTCTCAGGCAGGGGATGCAATATTGCACCCCCGGCAGGGGATTTGGAAACTGTGGGTTTGGCCTCTGAGGGGGCCCAACTCATAGAGAGTGGTCTCTCAACCGAGGTTGTTGAGACCATTCTAAGCTCCAGAGCTCCCGCTACGAGGAGACTATATTCACTATTTCGAGAGTTTTTCACTTCTTGGTGTTACCAGCGTCAGTGGGATCCGGTTAACTGTTCAGTAAACACAGTATTCGAGTTTCTGCAAGAACGCTTTGTATCAGGTCTGTGTCCTTCCACGCTTAAGGTATACGTGGCGGCCATTGCGGCTTTCCACGCCCTGGTGGGTAGTACATTTTTGGGTCGAGACCCCCTGATCACTCGTTTCCTTCGTGGCACTTTGAGGCTGAGGCCTGCAACTTGCACTAGGGTGCTGGCTTGGGACCTTGCAATAGTTCTAGAAGGCCTATCTGGGGCTCCCTTCGAGCCCTTAGATTTGGTCTCAGAGAAGTTCCTTTCTTTTAAGACTATTCTCTGCTAGCTATTTCGTCCCTATTAGAGTCAGACCTTCAGGCCCTTTCGGTCCCCTCCTGCCTTGAGTGCACCGGGGATGGCCAAGGCATTCTTACCCGAAACATGGATATGTTCCAAAGGTGCCTACCATTATTCCGAGGCCTATTGTGCTGCAGGTTTCTGTCCTCCTTTTACATCTGCGGACCAGGAAAGGCTGAACCTCTTGTGTCCAGTGCGAGCACTGGATACTTATGTTCATCGGACATCTTCAATGAGGAAGTCCGACCAGTTATTTATTTGCTTTGGATCACCTAAGAAGGGTCTTCCTGCTTCTAAACAGACGGTTAGTAAGTGGATAGTTGAGGCTATTTCACTTGCATACGAGTACTCTGACCAGCCGTGTCCTTTGGTGGTCAGAGCTCACTCTACGAGGGGTATGGCGGCCTCTAAAGCCTTACTATTTGGAGTTTCTCTTCAAGACGTTTGTGATGCGGCAGGCTGGTCCTCACCGCTCACATTCGTTAGGTTTTACAGCTTAGACCTGGATGCTGCCCCAGGTTCTCAGGTGCTTAGTGCTTAGTTTCAACAGACTGACACTCAGGTACTTGGAATTCTGGCGTTTTGGGTATTCTCGTTCCCAAGGCGTTAAGTGACGCATCGAGAGTTCCCTCGAAAGGGAACGTCTCAGGTTACGACTGTAACC